GGCTGCAATGCTGGGGTCCCCAGCCTCCCGGGGCGAGAGTCAGAGACCCACTGCAGACCTCCCTTGTAGAGGGCTTCAGACACCGGGTTGCCCGGTCGCCATCTTGCCCCTTCCTCTTTGAGTTTTTTGTAGAATCTGAATATTAGTCCTTTGTCAGATATTTAGTTTGCAAATATCTTCTCACATTCTGTAGGTCACCTGAAGCATTTGATCCAGCATCCTTTCATGATAAAAACAAACAAGCAAAAAACAAAAAACCTCAGCAAATTAGGTATAGAAGGAAAATTTCTCAAAATAATAAAAACCAGGAATTGATTACAAGATCCAATTTCCGTAAGAGTGTCTCTTGCATTTTCCAAGATTCTTATAGGTTTTACTTTTAGTTCTTTGAGTTAATTTTTGTATATAGTGATAGGTAGGGGCCCTGCTTCAATCTTCTGCATGTGATCAGCCAGTTTTCCTAGCACTATTTACTGAATAGGTTCTCCTCTCCCCAGTTGTTGTTGGAGGCTTTGTCAAAGATGAGTTGGTTGAGAAATTGAGGCCTTGCTTTTGGAATCTCTATCCTGTTCAATTGGTCTGTATACCTGTTCTTGTACCCATCTAGGCTATTTTGATTATTGTAACCCTATAGTAAAGTCTGAAGTCTGGAAGTGTGATCCCTCCTGCTTTGTTTCTTTTGCTGAGGATTGTTTTGGCTATCCGTGGTTGTTTATGTTTCCATATGAATGTCTGTATTATCAATTCCAGGTCTGAGAAGAATGATGTTAGTAATTTACTGGATACTGCATTGAATCTGTAGATTGCCTTTGGTAGGATGAACATCTTAACAATGTTGATTCTTCCTATCCATGAGTATGGAATATTTTTCCGTTTGTTTGTGTCTTCTTGGATTTCTTTGAGTAGTGTTTTGTAGTTCTCGTTGTAAACCCCAAGTGCCCGTGCCATAAGAGATAAGATAGAAAAACAGGACCTCATCAAACTGACAAGCTTCTACAAAGCAAAAGAAACCATGAAGAGAGCAGGGAGACAGCCCACAGAATGAGAAAAAATATTTGCCACCTGTATATCTGACAAAGGCCTAACATCTAGGATCCACAAGGAACTCAAACATGTCAAAAAAAAACAAAACCCAAAAACCCAACCCCTTTAAAAAGTGGACAAAAGACATGAATAGACACTTCTCAAAAGAAGATATATGGACAGCCAACAGACACATGAAAAAGTGCTCAGCCTCACTCATCATCAGAAAATGCAAATCAAAACCATACTGAGATACCACCTAACCCCAGTAAGAATGGCTATCATCAATAAAACAAACAACAACAGATGCTGGCAAGGACACAGAGAAAAAGGAACACTTCTACACTGCTGATGGGAATGCAAACTAGTGCTATCTCTTTGGAAAACAGTTTTACGATTTCTGAAAGAACTAGAAATTGACCTTCGATTTGGCCCAGCAATCCCCCTATTGGGAATATAGCCAGAGGAACTCAAATCATTCTGCAAAAAACATGCATGCTTGTTGCAGCTCTATTCACAATAGCAAAAACATGGAACCAACCATGTTGCCCATAAAGCTGTACTGTTGCCCATAAAAAAATATGGTGCATATACACAATAGAATATTATACAGCTATAAAGAAGGATTTTGCAACAACTAGGATGGATTTAGAGTCTATCATACTCAGTGATCTATCACCGAAACAAAGAACAGAGTACCATATGTTCTCACTTGTAAGTGGACCCAATTATCATAGTACTATAAGAAAAGGATTGGCAGTGGTGGGAAACTGCCAGGGGAGAGGGGATGGGATTGGTAGTTGAGAGAAGCTGCCAGGGGAGGAGGGGCACACCTCGTCAACAAGGGCACCTGCATAAAGAACATTTGTATACCTAACCCTGAATTGTACCCCACATCTTTAAAATAAAAAAGTTAAAATAAACAAATAAATAGTATTCAGTAGAATAACTTTTTTAATTAAATGTGAATTTTAATTCACATCAAAAGCATGCTACTAAAGATTGCTTTTCAACATTTAAACAAATACCTGTAGTTTATATGATGGTGGAATAATACAAAGGTTAGTTTTGCAGTCTATTTTAAAAATAAATTATACTTTAAAAATAAAATAATAAAAATTAAAAAATAAAAACCACATATGACAAACCCACAACCAGTATTATCCCGAAGAGGGAAAAATTGAAAACATTCCCCTTCAGAACTGGTACAAGACAAGGATGCCTACTTTTACCATTCCTAGTCAACATAGTACTGGCAGTCCCAGACAGAGCAATCAGGCAAGAGAAAGAAATACAAGGTATCCAAATTGAAAAAGAAGAAATCAAACTATCCTGTGTGCTGATGATATGATCTTATACCTAGGGAATCCTAAAGGCTCCTCCAAAAGACTCCTGAATTTGAATAATGAATTCAGTAAAGTCTCAGGACACAAAATCAACACACGCAAATCAATAACACTACTATACACCAATAGTGACCAAGCATTTGCAATACCTACCAAAAAACAAATACGTAGGAATACATTTAACTGAGGAGGTGAACAATCTCTACAAGTAGAACTACAACACACTGATGTAAGAAATTGTAGAGGGCACAAAACAATGGAAAAACATCCCATGCTTGTGGATTGGAAGAATCGGCATTGTTTAAATGACCATATTACCTAAAGTAGTCTACAGATTCAATGCAATCCTTATCAAACTACCAAAGTCATTTTTCACGGAATTAGAAAAACAATCCTAAAATTCATGTGGAACCAAAAAAGAGCCAGAATAGAACAGTCAAAGCAATCCTAAGCAAAAACAACAAAGCTAGGACATCACATTACCCAACTTCAAATTATAGTACAAGGCTATAGTAACCAAAACAGCATGGTACTGGTACAAGAGCAGACACATAGACCAATAGAACAGAATAGAGAATCCAGAAATATAATTTTTATTCTTTTTTAAGCGCCTTAATTTGAACTAACATATATTTTCAATCATGGTTTAATAATGCTTTTAAAGTCTATAAATATTATCTTTATGTGACATATTAGATGCAACAAATACATTTTTACTTGCAGTATTTTCTTTGTTATTATTATAAGTACTTGAGACTGTCTATGGAGATTTTCTCTTTAATAGACTTATATATGGGTATATATTTTTAATTCTTTAAATTATCCTTTTATATAGCCATGGAGCACATGGTATATATGGCACATACTCTGAATTTTGGTTTTTTAGGGGACAGAGTATATATTATTAGCTTTTATAAGTATTCTGCCTGACCTTAAAAAGAATATAGAATCTCTTATTGAGCACAAGCTTGTATTGAATCAAGCTTATTAATTGTATTGTCCAAATATCCTACAGCTTTACTAATTATTTGTCTGATGTAAAAGTTTTTGATAGAATTTTATCAAAATGTCACACTTTCCACTTCTCCTTGTAATTATGCCAATTTTTAGTCTATGTATTTCGAGGTTATGTTGATAGGTGCATATAAATGTGACTTTTATTACTTCTTAGTAATTATTTCTTTTTCATAATATGTTAGTTTTAATTCCTATTTATGCTTTCTGACAAATTCTATTTTGCTTCATAGTAATATTGCTACATAAGCTTTCTTTTAACTCATGTTTGCCTGATATACTTTTGTATGCCTTATTTTCAATTTTTTGTGTGATTTGTTTAGATAAATCTATTTATTTTTTAGTAGAAGTCTCATTCTGTTGCCCAGGTTGGAGTGCAGTGGCACACTGACAGCCACTGCTGGGCTTAGGCAATCCTTCCGCCTCAGCCTTCCAAGTATCTGGAACCACCGGTGTGCCCCACCACACCTGGCTTATTTATCTACCTATCTATCTATCTATCTATCTATCTATCTATCTATCTATCTATCTATTTATTTATTTAGAGTTGGAATCGCACTCTATCACCTAGGCTGGAGTGCGGTGGCAAGCTTACGGCCATCCCAGTGTCGACCTGCTGGGCTCTGGCGAGCATTCTGCCTCAGCCTTGCAAATAGCCAGAACCACAGGTGAGCGCTACCACAACCAGCTAATTTTTTATTTATGGTAGAGATGAGGTCTTGCCAACTTGCCTGGGCTGGTCTCAAACCTGTGGGCTCAGGCATTCCACTCGCCTCTGGCTCC